GATATTTCAAGCATTACACCTATGGACGACGCACCATCGCCAGTTATTAACCAGCCAGATGACGACGACTCACCACCACGCAGAAGACCACCGACGGGATCGAGTCATCCATCGCAAGTTACACCACCAGAAGTTTCTCAACTGCCTGTTGATTCTGACGACGACATACCTATGCCAGCAGCATCTTCAGGACATCCACCTGCTCCACCGGGGCCTCCAGCAGCACCGGTACCAGTATGTACTGATGATTCCCTGAGTGATCGTCGGGACTCATCGTATCTGGAACAGTCTATCGTGGTTTCTACGGACCCAAATCCTACTTTACCTCAGCTTCGCCAAGCACCACCAGATGTCGATATGGATGATGTTGCCGCTTCTTCCAGTGGAAGACCAGGACCTCCAGGTCCACCAGGATCAGGATCTGTTATCTTTGACTTTGCGACGCCAAAACCATGGAGACCACAAGTACCATCGGCAGGATCTACGACACAGCCTCTACAACCAATATTTTTCCCTGCAGTGCCAGCGGGTTCCTGTGTTCCAAGACAGCTTGGACCATTTCAAAATGCCGAATCATTGATGACACCTACTACCACGGCGAAGCCGACGCCGACATCAGCGCCAGATCCTATAAGCCCTGCGACTGCAAAGGCTACTACACCACATCCTACACCTTGGAAGACTCATGTACCTACATGGGCACCTGTTCCGAAGCCAGCACGACATCGTGTTGAACCTTATGGCAGTGGCGCTGGTACATCATCAAGCCCATCATCAGGACCATCTACGGCGACAGCTTTACCTACGCCGGCGACCAGCTCGCCCCAGGCAGAACACGAACATCCTCACGACCAATCAGGACAATCAGGATCAGGAGACTCACAGGCTACCATGCAGTATCCCGAGGACATGAACAACACTGGAGACTTGGACTATAGTAATACAAGCGGTCAAGACGACATCCGAGTTTCCAAGAGAGGCCACAACACTAGCAGTGAGAGCTCAACTACTGGAAGACCACTTCCACAGAAACATGTCAGGATCAGCGACTCCGTTGACATCATGAACAAGAGCGACAACAAGGACATGAACGACCAACCAGATCCCACGGCTTCTTCCTCTTCTGGACCACCGGGACCTGCAACAGGAGGACCACCAGTTCTTCCCATCGCAAGTGAACCCTCAACAGACGCATCGCTAGGAGCATCGCAACCCACTGAACTAGAAGAAGAGTCATCTCAACATTTCTCAACAAAAGGTGTTCCGCCAGACAAGGACCTGATGGAAGCTCTTCTTTCCCAGTGCGGAGCACAGCCGATATATCAGTTCTTCAATGAATGGAGGACTGAAGAGGAATAATTATCTACTACCATGAACTCGGAACTGACCAGCGAGCTCAAGAACTTAGACATCGGAGTTGAATCAGAACAGGAGTATCTACTAGATCTATTCACTGGAGACGTTTATAAGGCTGGGGACGACAGTATGATGCTCAAAGATGAAGATCTTCAGCGGTACCCTCATCTTGTGGATGAAGCAGACCATCGAGAATTGGAAGCCTTCTGCAATCGCAAAGTATTCGTACCACGTTTGAAGAAGGATCTGCCAGCAGGCGCAAATGTTGTCGATTGTGTTTGGGTTCGCAAGTGGGCTATCAAGTACAAGAAGGTGAAATCCAGAGTATGCGCTAGAGGTTGTTTTGACAAACGCAAGCAGGTTCTTGAGAAACATTCAAGTACAGCAACGCGGCTTTGACAACGACTGGTAATTTCAATGGGACTCTGCAATGGAATCCTGTGGAGCGATACGGATCACCCCTACGATATCGAGACGGAGAGTTTGGACATTTCTGCGGCATTTCCTCAAGGACTGGACTATGGCGAGTTGAGCGCTAATGCTAGAACACTGGGATATGCATACCGCCACAAGCGGGAGTGTTTCATTATACCACCTGAGAACGTGTGGAGACATCTTCGTAAGATGAAGATGGCCATGAGGGGGCTGCAGATTCCCGATGCGCTACGAGGCCATTCTGTTCTACTTTGCTTACGCGCAATGTATGGTTTTACGGATGCACCACTTACGTGTCAACTTGCACTCATCTTTTATACCAATAAGGATACGAATGCGCTCAGTTCAGTTTTTGACGACAACTTTCTTCACTGGTTTGTTACCATTGATGGAGTCAAACTGGTAGCACTCATTATGACGGCTCATGTGGACGATCTACAGATTACAGGCTGCAAATCTATGAGGACATGGATTAAGGACGCTCTTGCCAGACGCTTTGGTGATATGAAGCTACATCAGATACCTTACACTCACGCAGGTATCCAGATCGAACGGCTCAATCAAGATTGTCTTCGACTTCATCAAGACGAGTTTTGCAGCAAGTTAGCCATCTACAAGATCCCGGAACATCGACTAAAAGAACCAGGGAGTCTTTGCGACAGGTCAGAGATCACTATCTTCAGATCATTGTGTTGTTCAGCATTGTGGGCCTGCCAGACACGCTTGGAGGAGTTGTGTGCAGTTGCCAGTTTACAAGTATTTCTACAGACACCGAAGATAGAGCACACTATTGCCATCAATTGTGGTATCAAGAGATTGCGACGACCTTTACGACATGGTATATATTTATGGAGATTGCGGCCACCACTACGTATTGTCAGTATAAGCGACGCCTCAGCACCGAACAAGCCGAGCAATTTCGCGACAGAGGGTAGTATCATAGGCCTGGCAGAAGATCGCATCATGAAGATAGAGACGGACAGAGAAGATTTCTTGGATTACGAACTGATACAACAGCTTGAGACAAAATGCACATATTTACAGGAAGCTCACAAAAGGCCAAAAGGATATCGCACAGTACCTCGCATGCCGGGACGTTTTCAGCGGCTAAGGCGATACCACTAGCACAATTCGTTGCCTTACGACTGTGTGAACCTGAAGTTACGACAAGAAGGAGCTTCGCAGGTAAACATTCTATTCCTTTTGCTCTGTTGGATGTTCAAGAGTCAGCTACAGTACCACTTCCAGTGGACTCTTTTATTGATTTCATGGCCCTATGGAAACTTTCATGCGGCCTCAAGGGCATACCACAAGATAAGAGTCAGAGACTCGGAGTATTATCGTTACGAGAAGAAAAGGAGATGTTTGCGATTGCGACGACTCTATCATATAAGGACCAAGTGGGTGTGTGCCGATCAACTCACAAAGGCATCTGGTCAAGACAGCCAGGAGTTGTATACACTAAAATCGAGTGGATTCTTTGTCATTCCAGACAAAGTCAGAGTGCGACAAGGTTTAGGATCAAGTATGACTGACAGACGTGCCAGTATTTCTTCTACTTCTCAGATGAGAGTATGATGTGTGACGCACACATTGGATACGGTTCAGAATCTTCTGACGGCCAGAGACAGAATATCATATATGGATATGGATGTGGATATGGTCATGCACAATGGAACTCGGACGGACATACAGATATCCAGATAAATGTGCAGACTCGGTTTTTGGGAGGTAATTATTATGCGATGTGAAGAATGTCGAGGTTTTCCGCGCGCTTGCACGCTCGCACATGTAATTTAAGCATGCTTTTTCAAAGTCAGGATATCGACTCTTAGGATCCTTTAGGATCGAATTTTATAGATGCTCTCGAAACCAAGAGAGTATGGCGAGAGTTCGAATTCTGATGTATTACAGGTTTCTCTAGCGGGTCCTGTAAAGAGCCTCTTAGGAGCCCCGGACAGTACGTCCCAAAGTATGGTTTGTAGGCTAAGCTCTTGCCTGCCTGCCTGCTGTATTGTTACGTGCGACAGCCTTTTGGCTTAGAGGAAAGACATCAAAGATATCTTAACGCTCTTCTCTCACAACTGATATTTTATTTTTCATCAATATCTTACCTTGGATACGATTCTCATCGATATCCCGAGTCCCCCACCCCCCCTCCCCCACCCCTCCCCCTCCCCTCCCCCTCTCCCTCCCCCTCCCTCCCCCACCCTCCCCCTTCCCTCTCCCCCTCCACCCTCCCCCTCCCCGTCCCCCCTCCCCACCCTTCCCCCTCCCCTCCCCTCCCCGCACCCTCCACAATTACACAATATGAACATACTCTCCCACTTCCCCTGATGGCGTCCCGAAGATATCCGACACCCCCCCGCGTACTGTTTTTTTACACACAGGATTCCCGGGAAACGGGTTTTCGCTTGCGTTTTTTTTTTTTTGTTTTTTTTTTTTGTTGTTGTTGTTTTTTTCTTCAAAAAAAATGCTGCTCTCGCTGAGGCGCCGGCCTCATTTTGCTCCCGAATCGTTCCGAATCGTGCTCCCGCTGCAGCGTGGGCCTCATTTTCGGATCGGTGTTTGGCCTCCGTCGTTCAGGATGGCGTTCTCGCCCCAGCGCGGGCCTCTTTCTCGCGCGCCCATCCGCCCGCCACCACCGCGCCGCACCACCACCACCACCACCACCACCACCACCACCACCACCACCACCACCACCACCACCACCACACCACCACCACCACCACCACCACCACCACCACCACCACCACCACCACCACCACCACCACCACCACCACCACCACCACCACCACCACCACCACACCACGCACACACGCACGCACGCACGCACGCGCACCACCACCCACTACGCACGCGCGCGCGGAGCCACAGGTCCGCTACGACACGCGTCCGCGGATAGAGAAAATCAGCGCCATGGTAAGGGATGGGAGGGAGGGGTAGGACGTCAGATATGACGCGAGCGCACCTGGCTTGCCCTCCCCCTCCCCCCCACCCTCCCCCCTCCCCTCCCCCCCCCTCCACCCTCCCTCCCAACCTCCCCCAGCCTCCCCCTCCCCCTCCCCCCGCCTCCCCCCTCCCCCTTCCCGCGCGGAGCCGCCCCCCGCCGCGCCCGCCGCGCCGCCCGCGAGCCCGCCCCCGCCGCCCGCCGCGGCCGCCCGCGCCGCCCGGCGCCCCGAGGTCCGCCGGCGCGCGCCCGCGCCCCGAGGGGCCTCCCGCGCCCCCCGCGCTCCAGACGATGCGCTCCGCGGCCGCCGCCGCCCTGCTCGCCGCGGCCGGCGCGCCCAGCTCGGGCCGGACGGAAGGGGGGCATCTTGGGGAAGGGGTCGGAGGTGGATAGGCCTCCTACCTGGGCACGTCGATTCAGGAATTGGCCGTTTTTTCGATTCGCGAAAGGGCGTCGCGGCCGTCCTTTTTGCGGGTCCAGGTCCGTCGATCCGGTCCCAGGCCGTTCTCACCAAGGGGAGGTTTGCTAAAGGGAGGTCTGTCCACCGCCGAAGGGGGGGTGACGCAGCCGGCTTCGGCCTCACCGCGGGGCCCATGCTTCGATGTGCGTGGCCGCCTCCGGCGCCGGGGGGCGCGGGGAAGATCGGCTGCGTGAGCCGATTCTCCCCCCCCCCCGTTGCCATCCCCCCTTTCAGAGCCTCGAATCATCAGGGGTAACTCGGGTCGGGGCTAACTCGGGTTCCTTTTTCGGGAATCCCACCCCGAGTTACCCCGGGCCCGAGTTACCCCGGATAACTCGGGCGTCCAGAGCCCCAAAATCATCAGGGGTAACTCGGGTCAGGGCTAACTCGGGTTCCTTTTTCGGGAATCCAAACCCGAGTTACCCCGGACCCGAGTTACCCCGGATAACTCGGGCGCCCAGAGCCCCCCCTTTCGTCCGACCCGACCAGCGCGGCCGCGGTCACGGACCTCGCGGGCGGCGCGCCGTTCGAGCTCAACGGCGGGGAGGCCCTGCCCTGCAGGGCCCGTCGCGCTGCCGCCGACTCGGCTCGGTCCGATGTCGCAGGGCCCCGATGGCGATTCTCGATCCGACCTCGGAGGAGGAGGAGGAGGAGGGGGAGGAGGGGGGAGGAGGAGGAGGAGGAGGTGGAGGAGGAGGAGGAGGGGGAGGAGGGGGGGAGGGAGAGAGGAGAGGAGGAGGAGGAGGAGAAGGAGGAGGAGGAGGAGGAGGAGGAGGAGGAGGAGGATCGGAGTCCGACGTGGGAGCCGACTGCTCACCGGAGGCCTACTGGCCTGCCGATGTCTGCCGGTACGACGTTTCCCGACGAGGCTGCCGGTATATCCGTCGATCCTACAGTCAACGCGCCTAGGAAGGACGCGCGCCTTCATCTAGGGTACCCTTGTGTCCTTGCCTCTGAGGCCCGTCCTTGCCATTATCACTGGTCGCCCGCCGCCCTAAAAAACCCAACTTCGGCCTCCAAGGGTCTTGCGTTCTTACCACCCGTCCCTAATACACGTTTTGACTGTATTCGTGTGGATCGCCGACCCGACTGGTCGGTTCGATGCTGGGCTCTCCTGGCCCTGGGCCGGACGGGGCCGGGGCGAGGACGATTCCGTTCCAGGGCGTTCCTGGGCGCTCTGGGGAGGCCGCGGCGCCCGAGACGTCCCCCAGAGCCGCCGGGTTCTCAGAGATCCTCGGCTTACAGTCAACGCGCATAGTAAGGACAAACGACTTTTTCAAGGGTACCCTTGGGTCCTTGCCTGCCTCAGCCTCTGCGGCCCGTCCCTAGCAATTTTCGCAGGCCAGGATACTTCAACTTCGGCCTCCAAGGGTCTTGCGTCCTTACCACGCGTCCTTACTATACGTTTTCAATGTATCTTCACCCGACTTTATCCTTCGTCTTCTTGGGTCGGCACGAGCGAATGGGTACGGAAAGAGTGGGCACGATGCCCAGCATCAGTTCCTGTTCATTTCGAGCAGGACTCGCTGTCCGCGCCGCCGCGGGTGTTGTCCACGTGAGACGGAAGGCCGCCTGCCCAACAGCGCGGCCGCTGTCAGTTTCGGACAACATTTGCTGTTGGGCATCACACCCACTTTTTCCGTACGCATGTCGGGCGTCTGGAGGACGGGGATGTCAGGTTCGCGTCGTGTCGACCGGCGTCGGCATCGCCGCCAGCGTTCCTTTTTGAGCGCCGCCAGTGACCCAGAATCGGTCGATGCTGAACGATCTGACGTTTCGGAAACAGCTGGTCGTTCAAGGTTGAACGATCCCCGCGGTGTCAGGAGCCAATGCTGGGGTCGAGTCGACGCGAACCTGCCGTACCACCACTGCTGCCCTTCCTCGCTTCGCCTTTTTGGCCTCTTGGGACGCCCTCGTGGTTACGGTTAGGTCGGGCCTGTCCCCCTACAGGGGGATTTTCAACGAAAAATAACAAATACTCCCAAAATAGTCAAAACATAGTCCAAAAATAGTCAGGGGACTACTTTTTGAGTATTTGTTGACCTTCTTGGGGTATTTTGGGGGTATTTTTAATTGTTCGTCGAAAATCCGCCTGTGGGGGGACAGGCCCGACATAAGGTTACGGTCGCCTCGAGATTCTGGTCAGGACGCACCCAAGGAAGTCCATCAGCATCGGCATCGGTATGTGTAGGTTCTCGCGGGATAGGGCCCCGCGCTCATTGTCATAGGGGTCAGCCGATGCTCTCTGGCTGACCCAGGCCTGGGAACCGTGTGGGTCAGGAGGGAAAAAACACACACAGAGACAATTAATCGACGATTCCCCAGAACATATGGGAAAATATGGGAAGTGGGGTGGAAGACGAAAACCCAGAAAATATAGGAAAATATAAGGAATCCTGTTATTTGTGTGTGTATTTATTTGCGTGTCCCAGGGTGGGGCCAGCTAACCGGGGTCTGCAGTACCTACTTCGCGGTCCCCTGATTTCGGATCCGCCAGGTATTCCGACTTATGTGTTTGATGGACATGCTACGGGGCCACATGCGAACCCTACCCCTACCCCCCATGAGTTCTGAGGGGGAGGGTGGGGTTCACTTCGTTCGGGAGCTCCCGAGCGAAGTGACCCCCCCCTCCCCCTCAGAAACCGTGGGGGGTGGGGGTAGGGTTCGCATCTGGCCCCCTACATGCACCCCCAACGATGCAAAGACGCAGGGCGCAAGCGTCCGCCTCCGAACAGCCGGGCGGACTTGTGTCCGAGGCCGTGTCGGAGGACGCGCGGCCCAGCTTTGCATACCTTCCCCACGTCGTGGTCGGCGCGCGGCGACGAGGGCCCGGTTGTGGTGGCGAGGGGGGGGGATCGATGGGGCCCTCCCGGGGGGCCGGCCCATCCTTCGAGCCGCGGCCTCCGGCGGCGCTGCCCCCCCGACGTCCCGCCGTGCTTACGGGCGCGCCGTCTTCCGCGTCCGCTGCCTTTCGTAAAACAGGGCTATAGGAGCGGGATCAATCGCTCCAGAGCCTTCCGGAGCGCTCTCAGAGCGTTCCGGAACGCTCTGGAGCGGCCGCGGCGCCCAATGCATCCTCCAAACCCGCCGATGCTCAGAGATCTCGAGTCGTCCCGATCCGATTTTGTCCCGATCTTCGCGTCGTTCTGTTCCGTTGGAAGGTCCTGCGATCTCGCAGACGGGCGGCTCCCTGTGCCGTGGCCGACTGTGTGAGCTCCTGCGCTGCCAGGCCCCGTTGCCGCTGCTTCCCGCCTCGTGCCGGCGGTCCGCCCACGGTCGGCTTTTTGTTCGCGAGCCGCCCTTGCGCCGAGATGCTGCCTGCCTTCTCGCACAGCCCGAGGCTGCTGCCTGTGCCCGCCTTCCTTCTCCATCCTCCTCCATCCTCCTCCATCCTCCTCCATCCTCCTCCATCCTCCTCCATCCTCCTCCTCGATGCTTCCATCCTCCTCCGTCCTCCTCCTCCTCCTCCTACTCCTCCTCCTCCTCCTCCTCCTCCTCCTCCTCCTCCTCCGCCCTCCTCCTCCTCCTCCTCCTCCTGATGCTGCCCGCCTTCTCGCATTGACAGTCCAAGCTGCTCGCACCGACGCTCCAAGCTGCAACTGCGCGCCGTCTCGCGCGAGACTCGCTCGTGTTGTTCCCAGCGTTGTGGCTGATGCCTGGCGCTCTCCACCCCCTCCCGCGTGAGCTGCTGCCCGCGTTGCAGCTGATGGTGGGCTTGGTGCTTGCGTTTCACAGTTCCCTTTTTTTCCCGCATGTGCAACGCTTGCTGCCATTGTCCGTTTTCTCACACCAGTTGGCCCCAGTCTTATTCGCATCGCCGAAAGCGTCTGCCACTGTTCGCTCTCTCGCACGATCTGACCCCAGTCCGCCCGCATCTTTGCACTGACAGCATCCGCTGCCACTGCCTGCGCAGACGGCGCTGCCACTGCCTGCGCTCTCGCTTTGGTTGACAGGCCTTGCTGCCACTGCCTGCGTTCTCGCACGAACCGTTACCACCATTGCTGCCGATAGCACAGCTGACATTAGCTGGCTCCTGCTCGCCTGCTTTCCCGCACGAACCGCCACCGACACTGTACCTGATGACGCTGTTGAGTTCGGCTGTCCCCTGTTCGCTTGCTTTCGCACACGAACCGCTCCCAGCATCGTAGCTCATGGCATCGCTGATCTTCTTGACTAGACCCTGCTCGCTTGCTTCCTCGCACGCGCCATTCCCATCAGTATGGCCGCTGATGTCTTGTTCCTCCTTCGTCACACGCGCCTGCACTCTGGCAACCGTGCTGTGATTTGCGCAACTGCTCGCCAAGATGACGAGGAGGGGTGGGAAGACGGGAGAGAGGATGAGGGGACGGAGGAGGAGAAGAAGGAGGAGAAGGAGGAACATTACAAATAACAATACTACGACACAGCATTATAATGCTAACCATAAGACGAATAGCAATACTAATACGCATAATACTAATACGTAACACCCCGCAATTGTGGATCAGAGTGAGGGGGCGGGCGCGGGCGACGCGGGCGTCGAGCCGGCGGACCTCGTGACACTCACATTCCTTGTCGATGGCGCCTTCCTCCTCCTTCTGCTCCTCCTCCTCCTCCTCCTCCTCCTCCTCCTCTTCCTCGTCCGCGTCCTCGTCCTTATCGTCGTCGTCGTGGTCGTCGTCCGCCTCCTCCTCCTACTCCTCCTCCTCTTCCTCCTTTTCCTCCTCCCTCTCCTCCTCCTGCTCCTTCATCCCCTCCTCCTCCTCCTCCTCCTCTTCCTCCCCCTTCCCCCTCCTCCTCTTCCTTCTCCTCCTCCTCCGCCTCCTCCTCATCCTCTTCCTCCCCCATCCCGATCCTTCCCCCTCCTCCTTTCCGTCGTCGTCGTCGTCGTCCTCCTCCTCCTCCTCCTCCTCCTCCTCCTCCCCCTCCGCCTCCCTCCTTTCTCGTCGTCCTCCTCCGTCCCCCCTCCTTTTCCTCCTCGCCCCCGTCGTCGGCCTCCTCTTCGTCCTCGTGCTCGTCGTCGTCGCCAAGTTTAGCGCGGGGGGGATCGCTGGTGGGCCACCCAGGACGAATGCAAAAACAGCCCGCCGCAAGCGCCGAAGCTTTGACTTGTTCAGTGAACGTAGTTTGGGTCGCGGGTGGGTCGCGGGCTCTCCACCTCCACCTGGAAGGAATTCAAACACAGCCCGCCGCAGACGCCGAACATTTTGATTTGTACACTGAACGCGGTTTGGGTCGCGGGTGGGTCGCAGGTTTTCCACCTGGAACGAATGCAAAAGAAACCCGCCGCAGGCGCCGAGGCTTTGGCTTGTTCAGTGAACGTAGTTTGGGTCGCAAATGGGTTGAGGGCTCCCCACCTCCACCTGGAAGAAATTCAAACACAGCCCGCTGCAGGCGCCGAAAATTGTGATTTGTACACTGAATGCGGTTCGGGTCGCGGGTGGGTCGCAGGTTCTCCACCTGGAACGAATGCAAAGGAAGCCCGCCGCATGGGCCGCAAATGTTGGGTGGGTCGCGGGGTGGGTCGCGGGTGGGTCGCGGTGGGTCGCGGGTGGGTCGCGGGCGCGGCTTGGGTCGCGGGTGGGTCGCAGGTTCCCCAGCTGGAACGAATGCAAAAGAAACCCGCCGCAGGCGCCGAAAATTTTGGGTGGGTCGCGGGTGAGTCGCGGTGGGTCGCGGGTGGGTCGCGGGTGGGTCGCGGGTGGGTCGCGGTGGGTCGCGGGTGGGTCGCGGGTCGGTCGCGGGTGGGTCGCGGGGTGGGTCGCGGATGGGTCGCGGGTGGGTCGCGGTGCGGGTCGCCCTGGGGGTCTCGGGGTGGGTCGCGGGGTGGGTCGCGGGTGGGTCGCGGGTGGGTCGTTGGTGGGTCGCGGGGTGGGTCGCGGGTGGGTCGCGGGGTGGGTCGCGGGTGGGTCACGGGTGGGTCGCAGGGTGGGTCGCGAGTGGGTCGCGGGGCGGGTCGCGGGCGGGACGGCGACACCAACAAACAGCAACAACAGCACCAAGAATCCGCATCGCGGAATTCCACTTCAGCCACGCACCCAGGGACAGTGAATGACCATTTGGCTCAGCCCCCCCGCAGTCTGATTCATACACTCACATTGGTAACAGTACTCACAATACGAATGATCATATTAGCCATGCTACTACTATTGCTTCTACTGCTGCTACCACTACTACTACAACTTCTTCTTTTTCTTCTACTACTACTACTCCTCCTACTACTACTACCACTATTTCTAGTAGTAGTAGTAGTAGTAGTAGTAGTAGTAGTAGCAGCAGCAGCATCAGCAGCATCAGCAGTAGTAGTAGTAGTAGTAGTAGTCGTCGTCGTCGTCGTCGTCGTCGTCGTCGTAGTAGTAGTAGTAGTAGTAGTAGTAGTAGTAGTAGTAGTAGTAGTAGTAGTAGTAGTAGTAGTAGTAGTAGTATATTGGTATTAAGTAGTAGTAGTAGTAGTAGTAGTAGTAGTAGTACTACTACTACTACTACTGCTGCTACCGCTGCTTCTACTGCTGCTACTACTACTACTACTGCTACTGCTACTACTGCTACTGCTACTACTAGTACTAGTACTGCTGCTGCTGCTACTGCTGCAACTACTACTACTACGGCTACGACTACTACTACTACTACTACTACTACTACCACTACTACTACTACTACCACTACTACTACTACTACTACTACTACTACTACTACTACTACTACTACTACCACCACTACTACTACTACTAACTACTACTACTACTTATACTACTACTACTACTACTACTACTACTACTACTACTACTACTACTACTACTACTACTACTACTACTACTACTACTACTACTACTCCTACGGCGACGACGACGACGGCGACGATTATTACTACTACGACTACCACTACTACTCAGCAGACTGCTACTACTTCTCATGCTACTACTCATACTACTACTACTACTACTACTACTACTACTGCCACTACCACTACCACTACCACTACCACTACTACTACTACTACTACTACTAGTACTACTACTACTACTACTACTACTACTACTACTACTACTACTATTACTACTACTACTACTACTACTACTACTACTACTACTACTACTCCTGCCACTACTACTACTGCTACTGCTACTGCTACTACCACTACTATTAATGCTGCTGCTGCTGTTGCTACTACCACTGCTACAGCTACTACGAATAAGACGAGTCAGAATCAACCGTAACAGTACTTATACTACGACCCACTATTCTTACGATTAGTAGTATTTCTAATGCTAATCATACTAGCAATTGAACTGTTACTGACGATGTCACTGTAATACGAGTCGTGCTACTTAAACGGCTGGTGGTAGTACGGGTATTACTCAGAAGAAATTTAAGCCACACGATACGGCGAGGAGGCGGATGAGGAGGAGGGGGGACGACGAGGAGGAGGATGAGGAGGAGGCGGAGGAGGAGGAGCAGGATGAGGAGGGGGAGGAGGAGGAGGATGAGGGGAAAAAAATGGGATGGGGAGGAGGAGGAGGAGGAGGAGGACGAGGAGGAGGAGGACGAGGAGGAAGAGGAGCAGGAGGAGGAAGAGGAGGAGGAGGAGGATGAGGACTAGGATGATGATTATGATGAGGAGGAGGAGGAAGAGGAGGAGGAGGAGGTAGAGGAGGAGGATTAGGAGGAGGAGGAGGAGGAGGAACGGGAGGAGGAGGAGGAGGAGGAGGCAGAGGAGGAGGCAGAGGAGGGGATAACGGAGGAGGTCACGTCTCCTTGTGGGTGCGCGCGCGCGCCTCATGTCAGAGTTGTGGCATCTCAGTTGGGGTTCCACACTTCTTGATGCTGGCATTTTGAGCACGACAGTTTCAAACTTGGCCCGCGAACCACCCGTATGCGCCCCGCGTAGGGGGTCTGGCGCGAAATGGTTGGGAGGAGGACGAGGAGGAGCAGGAGGGGGAGGCGGACGAGGAGGAGGAGGAGGAGGAGCAGGAGAAGGACATTAGCAGTCGCAGGAGGAGGAGCAGGATGATGATGATGATGATGATGATGATGATGATGATGATGATGATGATGATGATGATGATGATGATGATGATGATGATGATGATGATGATGATGATGATGATGCTGATGCTGATGCTGATGCGGATGCGGATGCGGATGATGATGATGATGCTGATGATGATGATGGTGATGATGATGATGATGACGATGATGATGATGACTACGATGATTCTGATGATGATGCTGCTGCTGATGATGATGATGATGATGTTGACTATACTGATTATGACGATGATGATGATGATGATGCTGATGCTGATGCTGATGACGATGCCGACACTGGTGACGATGCTGCTGCTGATGATGATGATGATGCTGATGCTGATGATGCTGACGATGCTGCTGCTGATGATATTGTTGATGCTGCTCATGATGCCGCTGATGCTGCTGCTTATGAGGATTTGGATGATGATGAGGATGATGATGCTGATGATGATGCTGATGATGATGATGACGATGATGATGATGATGATGATGATGATGATGATGATGATGATGATGATGATGATGATGTGATGATGATGATGATGATGATGATGATGATGATGCTGATGCTGATGGATGATGATGATGATGCTGATGATGATGATGGTGATGATCATGATGCTGATGCTGATGATGAGGATGAGGATGAGGATGAGGATGAGGATGAGGATGAAGATGATGATACTGATGGCGATGCCTGACGCTGATGCTGCAGCTGCTGCTGCTGCGCTGATGATGTGATGATGAGGAGGAGGAGGAGGAGCAAGAGGAAGGAGGAGGAGGAGGAGGAGGAGGAGGAGGAGGAGGGAGGTAGGAGGAGGAGGAGGAGGAGGAGGAGGAGGAGGAGGAGGAGGAGGAGGAGGAAGGGGAGTAGGAGGAGGAGGAACACACGGGGGAACTCTCTGGAGAACTGTCTTGGCTCTATGGAAAAAGGGTTTTATATTTTGCCGTACGATGAGCCAGCATGACAGGCTTATGGGTGTTCCTGTTTTGTGGACTTGGCTGGCATGACGGTTTTGAAACATCGACTGCTGCTAGCTACGCCGATATACTTGGGGATCCACTGGCAAAACGAGTGCATCAAAACATCAGAGACATAATCTTTACAAACGGTCTTGAAGATGATAGCCCTCCTTGGTCCTTCAATCCACATGTTCTGTGCTCTGCCTGCACGTGCACGGTCAGAAATCATCAAGTTCCCAAAGTGGGTGGGACTCTGAATCCATCCCATACAAATTCCGCGCGTTCTCCTTGAGGTTTTGGGGCAGTTCCGGGAGTCGAGGCAGCCTTTCACGAAGACCATCGGGCTGGGCCAAGCTCGCCGCACACTGTGCAAAATGCCTCCTTGCCGTGAGAAGCGAGAGGGTCTTCAAGCCGGAGACACAATATCGAACAGCATAAAGGCACCGACCCGCCCGTTAGGGTCCGCCCGCCCGACCCGACCCGACCCGCCCGTCAGGGTTCACGCGTGTCAAGTGCACACGCACCATACTTGAATGTCCCGCCCGCCCGACCCGACCCGCCCGCTAGGGTCCGCCCGACCCGACCCGACCCGCCCGTTCTCTGCGATTCCTCCGCCGCAGTTCCCCTGAGAGGCGTCCGGCGTTGCGGTGTCGCGCTACACCGACGCGGTCGGAATCGCGTGCTACCTGGGCCCGTGGCACGAGCTCTACGAGGGCTCTGGCTCGAGGGGCAGGCGCCGCGGGGCTGGGAGGAGCGAGGAGCGAGGATGAGGAGGAGGAGGAGGAGGAGGAGGAGGAGGAGGAGGAGGAGGAGGAGGAATAATAATAAGAATGACAAACAAGACGAGAAGGAAGAGGAGGAGGAGGAAGGAGGAAGGAGCGACGGCGGGAGGACGGCGAGGGGGAGCGAGGAGGTGGACGGCGTGGGGGAGGACGACGAGGGGGGAGAAAAGGCAGAGGATGGAGACGACCAGCCAGGTGCGCGCACGCCACAGCTGACACCGTGCCGCTCCCACCCGTCCATCCCCACTGCGCCGATGTTTCCTCCATCCGTCTGCAGGTGTCGGGCGCGCACAGCCTTCCCCCCCTTTTGGAGCATCCGCGCTGCGTCGTCGTCGTCGTCGTCGTCGTCGTCGTCGTCGTCGTCGTCGTCGTCTACGACGGCCCTGCGCACCCCCTTGGGGATAGCCGCAGCGCGTCGTCGTCCGTCATCGCCCCGTCGCCGTCGTCGTCGACCTTCGTCGTTGTCGTCGTCGTCGTCGTCGTCGTCGTCGTCGTCATCGTCGTTGGTCGGTCGTCGTCGGTCGGTCGTCGACGTTCCGTCTGTCCGTCGTCGTCGTCGTCGTCGTCGTCGTCGTCGGTCCGTCGTCGTCGGTCTGTCGTCGTCGTCGTCGTCGTCGTCGTCGTCCGCCGTCGCCGTCGCCGTCCACGGCGGTTTTCAGCGGGCCTGCGCAACACCCTCTGCCGCCGCCGCATGGGGCCATCCGCAGCGCGTCGTCGTCGTCGTCGTCGTCGTCGTCGTCGTCGTCGCCGTCGCCGTCATTGTGCTCGCAGGCACACTGCACACTGCGGTCGCCAGTGCGGTGGACGCGCTAGCTCCTCTCCTCATACACGGTTGCATTGCATCCAGGTGAGGCTGCTCACATCTATGTTAAATCCTAAACCATAAACCTAAACACTAAACCCTAAACCCTAAACCCTAAACGTTTAGGGTTTAGGGTTTAGGGTTTACGGAGCAGCCGATGTTATTTGGGTTCTCGTGGACCGACGAGGGGCCGCATTCTTGCCATCTTTGGCCCGTCGGGCGCATTCGGGCGCGTGTCGACTCTCCTTGGGCCTTGGAAACTGTTGGGTGGCGTCTCCATGGGAGCAGTGGGGCAACCTTGAGCGGCGTGGACGCTGAGGCACATTCTCTGAATTTGATGATCCTTTGCGCTGCGCGTCCGGCTAGTAAACAGTCGAAGTGGGGTTGGATTGTAGAGGGGTAACATCGGACACGATAGGGAGGTTCAGGAAGAGGAGCACAATACCAAACACTGCGTAGTTTATTGTAATATTGTTTTCCCAACCATCGTCTGGTTGGTACTCGTTTTGAGCAGAGCACTGCTTGCGCGTCTTACTCTCCCTTTCCTCCTCCCGCCTCCTCCCTGCTACCGTCGGCCCCCCGTCTCCTCTCTGCCCTCTTCTCCTCCTCCTCCTCCTCCTCCTCCTCCTCCTCCTCCTCCTCCTCCTCCTCCTCCTCCCCCCTCCCCCTCCCCCTTTTTTTCTTTCTCCTCCCCCTCCTTTTTCTCCTCCTCCTCCTCATTCCCCTCCTCCTTCTCCTCCTCCTCCTCCTCCTTTGGCCTGCATGTCCTTCCCTGCTGCTCGCGCTGCCTGGGTGTTTGCGAAATGCCAAGCTGTCGCCGCTTTCGTGGTCCCCCCCGAGGGGTTCCAGCGGAGTGGTGTCTTACGCAGATCAGATTGTGGCCTCGCCGTCCCTGGGGGCGCTGCGAGCTGCGAACATGTCTCCACTTTCGTGTGCTCCTGGGGGGTCCGCGGAGTGACGTCCGACGCAGATCATATTGAGATCTCGGAAAGAGCGGGTTCTTTGTGCGCTTGGAACCGGACCCTCCTGGATTGAAGGGGGTTTGGAACTGGACCCCTCCCTCCTGGATTGAAGGGGGGGGTCGAACCTCTCCCCCTTCCCGTGGCGGAGGGAGGGGTGGTTTCCCCCCCCCCCCCCGACTTCTCCTCTCTCCTTCTCCTCGGGCCAGCGCTGGTGTCGGCGGCGGCTGGCGGCGGCGGCAGGGAGTGTCGATGAAGACGACGAATTCCTTCTCTTGGCGGGCGCCGGCGCTTGCGGCGGCTGGCGGCGGCGGCGGGGAGCGTCGACGAGGACGACGGCGACAACGATGGCGACGACGACGACGCTCCGCCACCATGCCTTGGTTTAGGGTCAGAGTCCTAATAGATGTTTCTTGGGGTCTCGTCGCAGGGCTCTCGGGGGCCTCTGAATGGCATTTGTGACGCCTCCTGGGCGCCTCTTGGACGTCTCTTGGGGCCTCGCTGAGGAGGTGGTGGTGGTGGGCTGTGGCGGTGCAGTGGGTGGTAGTTGGTGGGTTGTGGTGGTGGTGGTTGTGGTTGTGGTGGTGTGGTGGTTTGTTGATGATGATGATGATGATGATGATGATGATGATGATGATGATGATGATGATGATGATGATGATGATGATGATGATGATGATGATGATGATGATGATGATGATGATGATGATGATGATGGTGGTGTGTGGTGGTGGTGGTGAAGGTGGTGGTAGTGGTGTGGTGGGTTGTGGTGGTGGTGGTGGTGGTGGTGGCGGTGGTGGTGGTGATTGTGGTGTGGTTGTTTGTGGTGGTGGTGGTGTTGGGGGTGATGGTGGTGGTGGGTTGTGGTGGTGGTGGTGGTGGCGGTGGTGAGGTTGTGTTTGTGGCGGTGGTGGTGGTGGTAGGTTGTTCTGGTGGTGAGGTGGTGGTTGTGGCGGTGATGGTGGTGGTGGTAGTGGTGGTGGGCTGTTGTTGGTGTGGTGGCGGTGGTGGTGGTGGTTGGTTGTTGTGTTTTGTTGTTGGTGGTGGTGGCTGTGGTGGTGGTGGTGGTGACGTGGTGGTTTGCGGTGGTGGTGGTGGTGAGTTGTGGTGGTGGTGGTGGTAATGGTGGTGGCGGTGATGGTGGTGGTGGGGGCATGGTGGTTTGTGGTGGTGGTGGGGTTGGTGGGTTGTGATGTTGGTGGTGGTGGTGGTGGTGGTGCTGGTGGTGGTGGTGCTGGTGGTGGTGTGTGGTGTGGTGGTGATGGTGGTGGTTGTGGTGGTGGTGGTGGTGTGGTGGTTTGTGCTGGTGGTGGTGGTGAGGCCTTCGGGTCTTCCCGCCACTGTGTTTTGGCTTTGTGTCAGATCGTGGTGGTGGTGGTGGGCTGTGGTGGTGGTGGTGGTTGTGGTGGTGGTGTGGTGGTTTGTAGTGGTGGTGGTTGTTGTGGTGGTGTATATGGCGATTTGTGTTTCCCCTCTGCGGCCTCTGGGCCCTCTCTGGTCATCGTCGCTGCGTTCCCGCCGTCGGCGCTGCTGGCCGCCGCCAGCGCCGGCGCCGGCGCTGGCGCCCAGGGGGGGTTTTTGGGCCCCCTCCCCCTGGGCCCTCTCTGGTCATCGACGCTGTGTCTGCCGTCGGCGGCGGTGCCGGCGCCAGGGGGGGGGGGAATCTCCCCCCCCCCCCGGGGGGGGGGGGGGGTTGGGGGGGGGGGGGGGGGGGTTAGGGGGAGAGGAATCCCCATGGTTCTGATCGACGGCGCCCAGTGTTGGGGAGGGGGGGCCACCCCCCAGTTCGAAGCGCGCCGCCGAGTGTTCCTCAGGCGAACGCCCGTGAAGCGTGCTCTCTCACATCTCGCCGTCCCTGGGGGCTGAGGGCCGCGAAACTGCCGCCACGCAGGTCCCAATCATCCGTTGGTTGGGTGCTCGTTTTGAATAGGGCACTGCTCGAGCGTCTTCCTCCACTTCCCCTCCTCCCGCCTCCCCCCTCCTCCCGTCTGCCCCTCCTCGCCCCCACATGCTCCTGATCCCCTCCTCCTCCTCTCCTCCTCCTCCTCCTCCTCCTCCTCCCCTCCCCCCCCCCCCTCTCTCCCTCCTCCTCCTCCTCCTCCTCCTCCTCCTCCTCCTCCTCCTCCTCCTCCTCCTCCTCTGGCCTGCCTGTCCTTCCCTGCTGCTCGCGCTGCTTGGCTGTATGCGAACTGCCAAGGCGTCGCCGTTTTCGTGGGCCCCCCCGGGGGTCCAGCTGAGTAGCGTCCTACGGAGATCAGTGTGGGACCTCGCCGTCTTTGGGGGGGTCACGGGCTGCGAGCATGTCTCCACTCTCATGTGTTCCTGGGGGGTTCAGCGGAGTAACGTCCTACGCAGATCAGAATAGACCTCGCCGTCCCTGGGAGCTGCGACCTGCGAGCATGCTGCTTGCCAGCTTCTTGTGTTCCTTGGGGGGTCGTGCGGAGTGACGTCCTGCGGAGATCAGAGTAGGATCTCGCCGTCCTTGGGGGTCCAGCGGAGTGACGTCCAGCGCAGATCAGAGTGGGACTTCGCCGTCCCACGGGGCTGGCTCTTTTGGGTGTCCAGCGGAGTGACGGCCTACGGAGATCAGAGTGAGACCTCGCCGTCATTGGGGGCTGCGAGCTGCGAAGCTGTCGCCACTTTCGTGTGTTCCTGTTCGGGTTAATTAGGCGGGCTGACGTCCAGCGCAGATCAGAGTTAGACCTCGCCGTCCCTGGGGGCTGCGAGCTGCGAAGCTGTCGCCACTTTCGTGTGGTCCCCTGGCTTCAGCGGAGTGACGTTCTACGAAGAGCAGAATAAGACCTCGCCGTCTCTGGGAACTGCGAGCTGCGAAACTGTCGCCATGATCCTGTGTTCCTGCGGGGTCCAGCGGAGTGACGTCCTACGCAGATCAGAATGAGACCTCGCCGTCCCTGCGAGCTGTGGCCTGCGAACATGTTGCCAGTTTCGTGTGTTCCTGGAGGGTCCTGCGGGTTGACGTCCAGAGCAGATCAGAGTGGGACTTCGCCGTGCCCGGGTGCTGGTGCTCTTGGGGGTCCAGCGGAGTGGCGGCCTACGCAGATCAGAGTGAGACTCCGCCGTCCTTGGGGGCTGCGAGCTGCGAAGCTGTCTCCACTTTCGTGTGCTCCTGTGGGGGTTCAGCAGAGTGACGTCGTACGCAGATCAGAGTGAGACCTCGCCGTCCCTGGGG